GAATCTCCGCAACAGGAACACAAACACCAGTAAAACCTGATAGTGGCTCTAACTCTTCCCTAATCCCTATTACACTAAAAGAATAGTTTTGGCTATGCATGCACTTTAATCCAAAACCGAGACACAAGCTGTGGTAAATAGTTATGTGCGTAGCATGTTTATTACAGAAGCTTGTGTTTCTACAACGTATACTGTCATTTGATTGATTCTTATAATGTGGAAAGCTGCTATTTTCACAGTCCCACAACACATCTTACAATGTAAACAACAGCTGCACGTTTCACTTCCCCATCACTTGACTCATTGGTACTTTGTTATCGGTAGATTCTGGATGGGGCATTCCTTTCTTCACGAGACAGGAAGTCCAATGACCATGTTATTGTTTCTCAATGTAAAGAGTACCATCAGGAGTTTAAAGAAGAACTCCCCTTTTATGGAAAAAAGAAAAAACTACTTGAAAAGCAAGGAGCTACTGTAATCATTAAAGAAAACCTCTTTTAATTACACCAGGTAAAAGGTCATTTCCAGTCGGCATTATTTAGCCATCCTACAGGCCAAGGCACATCTAAATTATTACAGGTACTTATAAAGCACTGTCAATTTACACAGCGCTTTACATATACAGTTGCAAGAAAAAGTATGTGAACCCCTTGGGATTACGTGGAGTTTTGCATGAATTGGGCATAAAATGTGCTCTGAACGTCATCTAAGTCACAACAATAGAAGAACACAGTCTGCTGAACATAATACTACACAAACATTAGATGTTGCCATGGTTTAATTGCACATAACATGTAAACATTCACAGCGCAGGGAGGAAAAAGTATGTGAACCTTTGGACTTAATAACTGGTTGACCCTCCTTTGGCAGCAATTACCTCAACCAAACGTTTCCTGTAGTTGCAGATCAGACCTGCACAATGATCTGGAGTAATTTTGGACCACTCCTCTTCACAAAACTGTTTCAGTGTAGCAATATTCTTGGGATGTCTGATGTGAATCGCTCTCTTAAGGTCATGCCACAGCATTTCAATTGGGTTGAGGTCAGGACTCTGACTGGGCCACTCCAGAAGTCGTATTCTGTGCTGTTGCAGCCATTGTTTTGTTGAATTACTTGTATGCTTTGGGTCATTGTCCTGTTGCATCACCCATCCTCTGCGGAGCTTCAGTTGGCAGACAGATGGCCATATGTTTTCCTGCAAAATGTCTTGATAAACTCTGGAATTCATTTTCCCATCAATAACAACAATCCGTCCAGACCCTCAGGCAGCAAAGCAGCCCCAAACCATGATGCTCCCTCCGCCATGTTTTACAGTGGGGATGAGGTTTTGATGTTGGTGTGCTGTGCCTTTTTTCTCCACACATAGTGTTGTGTGTTCTTCCCAAACAACTCAGTCTTGGTTTCATCTGTCCACAGTATATTTTGCCAGTAGTGCTGTGGAACATCCAGGTGCTCTTTTGCAAACTTCAAACGTGCTGCAATATTCTTTTTGGACAGCAATGGCTTCCTCCGTGGTGTCCTCCCATGTACTCCATTCTTGTTTAATGTTTTCCTTATTGTAGATGTGTCAACAAAAATGTTAGCATGTGCCAGAGATTTCTGTAGGTCTTTAGCTGACACTCTGGGATTCTTCTTTACCTCATGCAGCATTCTGCGCTGTGCTCTTGCAGTCATTTTTACAGGACGACCACACCTAGGGAGAGTAGCAACAGTGCTAAACTTTCTCCATTTGTAGACAGTCTGTCTTACCGTGGACACATGAACATCAAGGCTTTTGGAGATACTTTTGCAACCCTTTCCAGCTTCATGCAAGTCAACAATTCTTGATCGTAGGTCTTCTGAGAGCTCTTTTCTGCGAGGCATGGTTCACATCAGACAGTGCTTCTTGAAACCAGTAAACCCAAAACAGTGTGTGTGTTTTTTTTAAGGGCAGGACAGCTGTCAGCAACACATCCAATATCATCACACTGATTGGAGTCAAGGTTGGCTCACTCCTGGCTCCAATTAGCTCTGGGAGAAGTCATTAAGCTAGGGCCTCACATACTTTTTCCTCCCTGCACTGTGAATGTTTACATGTTATGTGCAATTAAACCATGACAACATCTAATGTTTGTGTAGTATTATGTTCAGCAGACTGTCTTCTTCTATTGTTGTGACTTAGATGACGTTCAGAGCACATTCTATGCCCAATTCATGCAAAACTCCACGTAATCCCAAGGGGTTCACATACTTTTTCTTGCAACTGTATATTGTACATTCACATCAGTCCCTAACCCTCAAGGGGTGTACAATCTAAGGTCCCTAACTTACATTCATACACATACTAGGGACCAGGGGCGGACTGACCACTTGGAAACTCGGGCACTGCTCGAGGGCCCGGGGTCAGTAGGGGGCCCAATGAGATGCCCCTGGTACCTTTTTCATAGGCTTTTTTGAGTTTGGGCAAGGACACAGGGGCCCCATGATCCGCTATAGCCTGGGGGCCCCATGGGTTGTCAGTCCGCCCCTGCTAGGGACAATTTAGACAGTAACCAATTCACTTACCAGCATGTCTTTAAAGTATGGGAGGAAACCCGAGTACCTAGAAGGAACCCATGCAAGCACAGGGAGAACATGCAAACTCCAGGCAGCTGGTGCCATGGTTGGGATTCGAACCAATGACCCTAGTACTGCCAGGCAGAAGTGCTAACTATTTAGCCACTGTGCTGCCCACATGATACCTTTTTACAGAAACCCTGCCCCTTGTGTAATAGCTCAGTAAATACCACTGCTAGAATGCATTATTGGCATGGGTCTTTTTACATACAGGACAACCTTTACAATATAAAAGTCATCAATCAAAAGAAAATATAGTTTAAACCCAGGGGCGGACTGACCATTTGGAAACTCAGGCACTGCTCGAGGGCCCGGGGTCAGTAGGGGGCACCTTGAGATGCCCCTGGTACCTTTTTCATAGGCTTTTTTGAGTTTGGGCGAGGACACAGGGGCCCCATAATCTCCTATTGCCCAGGGGCCCCATGAGTTGTCAGTCCGCCCCTGGTTTCACCATTTCTCAAAGTGGAACTGAGCTAAAAATGTTCAGATTAGGGACAAGTTTGGGCTTGGTCTGAACCCAGGAGGAAGCTGTCAGTGCCAGGCCAAGGAGCAGTAGGCAGGGGATCTCACCCTGCAGATTTGCGTAAACAGGGTAAGGATGCCTGTGACATTATTGACCTGTTAGGCCTGTATGACCATATTAGCTTAATGGCATTGACCTAACATGGCCATGTGGTCATATTAGATCAATGATGTCATGAGGGTCAAGTCCCTTGTGTACATGAAGCTCATTGACCTGACACTGACCGCTGTCTTCCAGGTCTGCGCTGAATTCCTTCTGACAAATAGCAGTTCCTAGTATGTGAGGGTACCCAGGCACTAATATGCCTACAGCGTCATAGCAATATACAGTATCTGCAGTGTGAGATCTAAAGTACTGCAGCCTTTATTTGCTAGTCCTTGAAAGAGCAGGGCCCTCAATCCCCTCATGTTTTGCATTGTATTGGTATTGTTCTGTCACATGTTCTGTCCCCCTTTGTAATGTACAGCGCTGAGTGAACTATTGGCGCTTTATAAATACTGTATAATAATAATAATAGTCTTGTCAAATCCAGAGTGAGATTTGGTGATGTTGCTACTGTCCAGGTCATTGTTGTTCTTGCTGAAGGCTCTAACACAAGTAAAGGAAATTCAAGATGGCCACATCCACACACAGACACAGCGCATAAAAAGACATGGTAGGTCAGTAATGGGGAAAAGAGCAGTCACAGGGAGGACACAGCCAATGATGGTGACTAGTCCTTTGCCTTTTGCCTGCTTTTTTGGGAATGGCTTTCAGAGTTCAGCTAAAGAACCATCTGACTCCTCTCAACACCTTCTGCATGCATTTACACAGAGAACAGGCAATCACATTGAAGGCACTTACAGTGGGCCGAAGCAGAGGGGGCCTGCTGCTGGGTGTCCCCATTATTATTATTATTATTATACAGGACTTATATGGCACTAACAGTTTGCTCAGCGCTTTACAATATAAAGGGAGACAATACAGCAAAGATACAGTTCAATACAAGAGGTAATAACTGCTGGGGATGAATTGATAGGAGAAATAGAAAGGGGGAGGCCCAGCTACTGCTGGGTAGACAAGTATACCTAAAGTCAACATTATTTTTTAGTGTGTTTTTGTTGCTTGCTTTATGTGTCACCACTGAAAAGGTTTACCATTGTCATTTGCCCTGAGGACCGATATGACCATTTGACAGTTGGCACCAGAACAGAAGCAAGAGCTAATCTTTCAAACAGCACACCCGTTTCAGGGGCAGTTGTCTAAAAGAGGATTTCTCCTCAATTTGGAGAGATTTCCTCTCACTTCTTGCTGTGTCTCTAGGCAAGAACTTGAAGGGAAATTTCACTAATGGGACACAGACAGGAGATTAAACTAGGGTTGCACTGATACTGAGTACTTGCACAAGTACTCGTACTCATGCAAATGCCCCTGATACCTAAAACTGTTACCTTTGCAGTGCAATTGAGCCCATACAAAATGAATGCACTCAAATAGCACTACAAAGAATTGCGGTGCAATTCCTGTCCGAATCACATGTGGTTTCCCCCACTGCATCTGTGTGATCTTGGTATAGAAAGACAGGGAACCATCTAAGAAGTGCGGCAATGGGCAAACAAACAGTTTATGAACCACCTTCCCACCACCCTATAGCAGGTATACTGCTACAGGGCAGCAGGGATGCACAAAATCACGTATATATACGTGATTTTGTATTTCCGGCTAGGGGGCGCGCGTGAGCTGTGCATGCACCTTACCCACGCCGCTATCCACGGCCTCGGCTGTTAATCACCAGTCCCGGCCAGTGATTACTCACCGGCATCCGGTCATTGAGGAGCATTACCAATGGAGGGAGAGAACTGTAAGTAAACAATACAGTTCTCTCCCCTGTCAGCTCCTGCACACACACAGACACACAGCACACAGTTAACCCTTTGATCACCCCACATGTTAACTCCTTCCTGCCCAGTGCCATTAGTACAGTGTCAGTGCTTTATATTAGCACTGATCACTGTATTTTTGTCAATGGGGATGTCAGTGACACCAAGTCAATTCCCCCCTGTGTCAGAATGCCCACTCCCTCAGCCCCAATATAAGTTGCTGATCGGCACCATTACTAGTAAAAAATAAAATAATAAAAAAAAAAAATCCCAGGATATATACCACCATTTGTAAATGCCATAACTTTCACGTAAACCAATTAATTTACACGTATTGAGATTTTTTTTTAGCAAAGACATGTAGCAGAATACATTTATGACAAAATTAGATTTTTTAAATTTTGTTACTGGACATGTTTAATAGCAAAATTCAAAAATATTGTTTTTTTTTTCTCAAAATTGTTGGACTTTTTTTTTATAGCGCAAAAAATAAAAAACACGCAGGCGATCAAATATCACCAAAAGAAAGCACTATTTGTGGGAAAAAAGGACATAAATTTTTTTGGGTGCAGTGTTGTATGACCGTGCAATTGTCAGTTAAAATAACACAGTGCCGTAACACAAAAAATGGCCTGGTCAGGAAGGGAGGTAAATCTTCAGGAGGGCAAGTGGTTAATGTTATAACAACTCACATGTTAAAAGTGTATACTATATCTTGTATGTCAAATCCAAAAACATGCAGTGCTCACAGGGCTGGAGGAGATGTAGGGTGTACCTGTGGGTATAAGTGAGTCAGCTTGAGGGTGGACCGCCGTGGTTTTGGATTTGACATGCAGAGCATATTATACAGTTCCTTGAAAAAGTATTCATACCCCTTGACATTTTCCATATTTTGTTACAACCAAAAACGTAAATGTATTTTATTGGGATTTTATGTGATAGACCAACACAAAGTGGCACATAATTATGAAGTGGAAGGAAAATGATAAATGGTTTTCAAAATATTTTTACAAATAAATATGTGAAAAGTGTGGTGTGCATTTATATTCAGCCCCCCTGAGTCAATACTTTGTAGAACCACCTTTCGCTGCAATTACAGCTGCACGTCTTTTTGGGGATGTCTCTACCAGCTTTGTACATCTAGAGAGGGACATTTTTGCCCATTCTTCTTTGTAAAATAGGTCAAGCTCTGTAAGATTGGATGGAGAGCGTATGTGAACAGCAATTTTCACGTCTTGCCACAGACTTTGACTGGGCCATTCTGCACATGAATATACTTTGATCTAAACCATTCCATTGTAGCTCTGGCTGTATATTTAGGGTCGTTGTCCTGCTGGAAGGGGAACCTCCGCCCCAGTCTCAAGTCTTTTGCAGACTCTAACAGGTTTTCATCTAAGATTGCCCTGTATTTGGTTCCATCCATCTTCCCATCAACTCTGACCAGCTTCCCTGTCCCTACTGAAAAACACAGCATGATGCTGCCACCACTATGTTTCACGGTGGGGATGGTGTGTTCAGAGTGATGTGCAGTGTTTGTTTTCCCGCCACACATGGAGTTTTACTTTTAGGCCAAAAAGTTAAATTTTGGTCTCATCTGACCAGAGCACCTGCTGCCACATGTTTGCTGTGTCCCCCATAAGGCTTCTTGCAAACTGCAAATGGAACCTCTTATGGCTTTCTTTCAACAATGGCGATGCATACTAGCACATTATGACATTATTTTTCAGGGGCATTTTTTTTTTGGCGGTTTACTACCACTTTAATGCTTTTATGTGAGTTTATTGGGTTTACATCTACATAGTTAGTTTGGCTGAAAAAAGACAAACGTCCATCCAGTTCAACAATTAAAAAAAAAAAAAGGTATAATCCTATACCCACAGTTGATCCAGGGGAAGGCAAAAAAACGCAGCAAAGCACGATGTAATTTGCTCCTGCAGGGAAAAAACTTTAGCAAGCTATACTTAAGACCTTTAGAAAGTAGTGCTGGGATACATTTTATATGCACAGATTTGTACACCCAGAAATCCTTTCAAGGACCAATATCAGTCCACAAGAAATGACTAATATTTAACTCTTCAATTGTCAAAACATTAGCTTCTTTTTTTCTATTCCAGTCTTTTCATTTTTTGCCGCATTTTAAAGAAAGAAATACTAATTGCAAAAACAGTATGCACCTAATCCACCTCACATTACATCACTCACATTCACTGCACTCTCCATTACCCCTTCCCCATAAATAAAATAAACTTTAGACATACACAAGTTAGGTTTATTATCTCTGATTAAAGCTGTCCTGCTGCTAGCAAGATTTATACTCCTGTGTCAACCGGGGTCTCTTAATTATTGTAGTAAAACTCCTACCTGTCTCTTTGGAATAAGATATAATTTATAATTTAATAATAATAATAATAATAATAATAATTTAGACCCCAAAATTGTTATTTCCAATTGTTCTGCTGTTAGCCAATTTTACACAGCTGCATAGTTGCCAACATTTAAAAAAAAATTTAAGGACACTTTCTTTTATTGTATGTCCAGAAAGCCAGCGTAGGTGGAGCGTTATGTAAACTAGGGGTGGAGGAATAAATTGTGGGTGTGGCTTGGAGATAAAAAATATGGTGTGCGAAGCCCAAAAAACAAATAAACACATAGACTCATCTAAAAAAAAAAAAAACTTTAATAATATAAACAAAAAGATGTGGTCCACACTCAGTGATTGGTTGCTAGAAGTTACAGCACATTGCCTCTCACTGATTGGTTGCTAGAGGTTACTGCCGTTAGTACAGGGGAGGTTCAGAGACTACAGTAGTACAGGAGATGGTCAGACTGCAGACATGGCACAAGGGATGTTCAGAGTACAGTATGCTCCACCATAAATATCACAGCATGCACCACCATAAATATCACAGATGCTCCATCATAAATATCACAGTATGCTTTATCATAAATATTACAGTATGCTCCATCATAAATATTACAGTATGCGCCACCATAAATATCACAGTATGCTCCACCATAAATATTACAGGATGCTCCACCATAAATATCACAGCATGTTCCACCATAAATATCACAGCATGTTCCACCATAAATATCACAGCATGTTCCACCATAAAATATCACAGTATGCTCCACCATAAATATCACAGTATGCTCCACCATAAATATCACCATAAATTTTACGGTCCGCAGCTGCTCTGGCAGGCTGTCCATCATTGGTGGTCCTGGTGTGCGTCCTGGGCTTGGTCCTCTCTGCAGCAGCTTCCTCTGCCTTGCACATGAGGAGGAGGCTAAGGCGGGCTGGTGCGATCCCCCTGGGCTGGCCACACACCTAACAGTAACAACCAATTAGCATGGGAGAAACAGCCACATGACCTCCTATCTCTTACTGATTGGCAGTTCCAGGTAGGGGGAGGACAGAGAGAGAGGGCAGAGGATCGCAGGGAGGGGGGGAGAAGAATATAGTTAACACATTGCAGTACTAGATGCCCTGACTGCTGTGGCCGGCGCTACATCACAAAATAAAACCTGTCCATGACAAAAATCATTTTCCGTGATTCAGCCCAGGACAAAGACTGTCTGTGACAAATGTCAAACATCCGTGAGCGTCCCGGGCAATCCGTGACTGTTGGCAACTATGCAGCTGTGTGATCTGTGGTTTCTTAATTCTTGTAGCAAAACCTGTACTTGAGTTCTTTGTAGGAAATTTAAACCTAAAACTGCTATTTAAACTTTTTCGGCTGCTGGCTAATTTTACTCTGGTGATTTTCTGTGAAATCTTAATTCTTATAGTAAATCCCCTAATTGTCCTTTTTGTCTGTAGTAAATTTGGGCCTAAAATGATCATTTGAAATTGTCCTGCTGCTGTACAGTTCGACACTGCTGTGTGATCTGTGGTCTTTTCAGTCTTTTAGGAACATACCTGCCTGTACTTGTCTCTAGTACACTTCAGTCAATTCTCTCTGACTGGCCATTTTTTAAAACTTTTAGCTTGGGGTTGATTAGAACACATCAGGTAGCTGTTGCTGACAGTCCGTTCAATAGCTGCCATAGCACATCACTGCATTTCCTCACCCTAGTTTCTTAAAATTCAGCTTCTCAGTCAGAAATTCCATTATGGGCTTTCATCTCTCAGAGTGCCTAAGACCTCTATCACCATCCCTGATTCAGATTCAGTCTTTATAAACCGCCTCTAATGAGACTATATTGAACAAGCTCCAAAAAACTAAATTATGCAATCTGTTACATAGTTAGTATGGCTGAAAAAAGACAAAAGTCCATCCAGTTCAACCATTAAAAAAAAAAAAAAAGTTATAATCCTATACCCAAAGTTGATCCAAAGGAATGCAAAAAAAAAACCCAGCAAAGCATGATTCAATTTGCTCCTACTGGGAAAAAAATTCCTTTCTGATCCCCCGAGAGGCAATCGGATATTCCCTGGATCAACTTTACGTATAAATGTTAGTATGCAGTTATATTCTGTGTATGTAAGAAACAATCCAGGCCTTTTTTGAAGCAATCCCCTGAGCTGGCCAGAACCAACTCTTGAGGGAGTCTATTCCACATTTTCACAGCTCTCACTGTGAAGAAACCTTTCCGTGTTTGGAGATTAAATTTCTTTTCCTCCAGCCGTAAAGAGTGCCCCCTTGTCCTCTGTGATGACCTCAGGGTGAATAGCTCTACACCGAGTTCACTATATGAACCACTGATGTATTTATACATGTTGATCATATCCCCCCTTAATCTCCTCTTCTCAAGTGAGAATAAATTCAGTTCCTCTAATCTTTCCTCATAGCTGATCTCCTCCATGCCTCGTATCAGTTTAGTTGCCCTTCTCTGTACTTTCTCCAGTTCCCCAATGTTCTTTTTGTAAATTGGTGCCCAAAACTGAACTGCATATTCCAGATGAAGTCTTACTAATGACCTGTACAGGGGTAATATGATATCTCTCTCTCTGGAGTCTATACCTCTTTTAATACAAGAGAGGATTTTGCTCGCTTTAAAAACCGCAGCTGTTGTTTCCTAACTGATACACTATGCCATGGGGTGTATCTAGGGGATCAACCTGTTATGCAAGGTATTGGGTCTATTAGAGATCTTCCCCATAAACTCAGCAACAGACTTTACATAGTTAGTCTTGTTGAAAAAGGTCCATCTAGTTCAACCAATAAAAAGGAAAAAAAATAAAATCTCCTATACCAGCAGTTCAACAACCCCAAAAACATAAAAAGGAAAAAAATCCCCCAAGATAAATTCCCTTATACAAAATCCTTATATCCAGTACACAATCCTATACCTCTTGAGCATTTAGGAAAGAATCCTGAAAGC